CCTGGCTCCTTTCAAGCCCCCCCTTTCTTCATGTCTCATTTTTGGTCTTTCTTTGTCTCCTATTTTTCCACAAGTGTTTGAGCCCATGCACTTAAGCAGTTTGTACTGGCCAGATGGGGAAGGGAAATGGGGTGCTATTCTGGGCTGAAATAATAATGCTGATGATCCTTTGGAGGAAATGTCAAGTCAGGTGCCCAGCAGATGGGGGGTGTGGGTGCCCAAAGCCACACAAATTGTGAGGGTGTTGCTTGGGGCTAGATGTCAAGGGTCCTTGGTTTCCTGCTGCTGCTGCTAGCGACTGATCTGTACTCAACCAGAGACTAGAATGCACAAATGCCATCCCCTAGGAAGGCTGGGAATTAGATGACGACACATGCATGGCACTGAAACGTGATGTGCCTCCCCCACAAAATCATGACAGCAGGTAACTTTATCCCTAAACAGGGACACCTCCCCTCCCCCGCTGCAAAATGGATGTGGGGCTCCATAGGGAGTCTACCAAAAACACCACTCAGGGGCCTTAATCACCAGAGATGTTCCCAGCAGCTATCTGGGGCATCCACATGGCTGGGGAGGAAGCACCCCGGCTATTCTGGGGGTAGGGTTTACTCACGGAGCCCTGTGGGGGAGGCCAAGCACCTTGGCAGTGCTCGGACCCGTGCCCCCACCCCCCCCCCCCAACAGCCCGCAGGTGCCTTGGCTGAGCTGAGACCGGCCAGGCTCATCTCACCCATGGGCGGCCAGCAGGCTGCACACTAAGCGGGGCCGTTCCTGCCCAGCTCCGGGTCCAGCGGGGGAGGGGAGGCTCCTACCTTGCCGCTGGCGGTGCCTCCGCTCACCCCGATCAGGAAGGGCCTCGGGTGCGGTCGCTCGGCCTCCCCCCCGCCAAGGCTGCTGCCTGCCGAGGCCATGGCTCGCCACTGCGCCGGGAGGGTGGGGGGGGGAACTACAACTCCCAGCAGTCACTGCGCTGAGGGCCGAGAGCGCCGCCGTGAGGCAGGCTGGGAGCTGTAGTCCTTACGTCTGGAGTGTTCCGAGCCTGCGCAGTCTGCTCTGCAGCTTCTGTGGCAAGAGACTAGCTGGACAGGGGTGTGAAAGGGGAGAGCGAGAGAGAGACACTTGGGGGTGAATTTTAACAGGGGGCAGGGTACGAGCCAGGGCTTGCTCACTGCACCTGGCTGGGAAGGGCCCTGGAATTATTTTTTTTTTTTTAAGATGGAAACTGTCCCTTTCATAAAATCTTAAACCACCAGGCCACAAGTGGACACAAAGTGCTACATCTGCAGCAACAATCCCTGGGCTAGCAGCAGGGGGAAGTGACAGCCAGATGCACCGGCCAGAGTCCCTGGTTGCAGCCTCCGTCACATTGACTAAAAGAGAAGCTGGCAGCTTCCTCTTCCATTCAGTCCAGCTGCCCATTTCAGAAGCACTTTGCAAAGGCCAAACAGAGCTTTCAGCTCACCTGTTTGCTGCCAAACAGTTAAACTAGAGAGAATTAACATCTTGTTTTGTTTTAAAAGCATGGACGTGGGTAAAAGGTGGCCAAGTAGCCCCCCGGGGGGGCAGGTTCATGGCAGCCCGCAGCCAAGGAGACAGGCTTTCAATTTCTAATTCTAGTAATTTTCTTTGTAAAGTGCTCCAGCCTCTCCCCTCCTGTTTTATACACACCCTCATGCGCTGAAAATTAAAGTTACTGGCTCACTGATGCTTGTAATTGTTCGTAGCAGCTGCACTGGCTTGTAGCTGTGTGGGAAATGGAGTCATGGATGATGCTTGTTGTTCAATTTCTCCCTTTTTTGTTGTTTTTCTCTACGATTTTATCCACAGCCCACTCAAGTCAATTGAAAAACTCCTGTTAATTAAAGTGGGCTTTGGATCAGGCCTTATCTGAGAACAGAGCTGCTGCTGGATATCACCTTGACAATGCTAGAGACTAAAGGCCTCTTTCCCCTAGAGCAGGTGTAGCATGGGTGGAATTTAGAGGGACACTCTCCATAGTCCTTGCAGGTGCTACCTTCTTTGCTGAGGCTTCCACTCAAGGGGCTGACAGTGCCAATGGATTTGCTATTTTTTTTAACTTACTAGGAAAACGGTCAAGACCCTTCAACATTCAAAGATCAGACATCTGGCAGAGGGTGTCTACTTTTGATCATTAGAGACACAGGGCAGATTTAAACAGGTGACCAAGA